TGGATTCGAACCCGCCACCTTAGGTGTATGTGGCTGGTGCCTTAGCCGCTTGAGCCACAGGCGCCGAGCCCCCACTCTGCTTCTGATTCAGTAATTGGGAGATGGGGCAGGATATCTGCCTCCTACAGTTTTTGAAATACTCAGTGGATAAATCTGTGAAATTTTTTTTTTTCTTTTGAAACAGGGTCTCACTGTGTTGCACTTGGTAGATTGCTGTGGTGTCACAGATCACAGCAACCTCAAACTCTTGAGCTTAAGCGATTCTCTCACCTCAGCCTCCCAAGTAGCTGGGACTATAGGTGCCCGCTACAATGCCCAGGTATTTTTTGGTTGCGGTTATCATTGTTTAGCAAGCTAAGCCAGACTTCAACCTCCTCAGCCTCAATGCATGTGGCTGGTGCCCTAGCCACTGAGCTATAGTCGCTGAGCCTGTGAAATATTGTATTGACCACCTATAATTTCCTCTCTCCTACCTGAACATGGGCTTGGGATTCTGGGAAAGCTCTAGCACATCATGTTCCTTTCTTTTCATGAGCAGGAATCTCTGTCACCCAAGTGTTTTCTCCATGTTGGAACAAGAGAATGAGCCCTGGACTCTGGAGAATAAAGTGAAAACAGCAAGAAACCCAGATGTGGGGGAATGGATGCAAGGTGCGATTTCAGGTGAGAGATCAGGTGGGCACAGCGGAAGCAGCACCATTCCCCAGTGTGTGGGAAAGTCTGCTGGTGAGAGCACTATGGGCAAACACATTTGAATCCTGTGAGCTCTGAACATAAGTCTCTCTTCATGCCACTGATCTCTGTCCTTTACACGTGGAACAATTTATTTTTTTTACTCTCCAGTGGTCTGCAGCTCAAAAGGGACAAGTTTCTAACGTGATGGGCAAGGCCCTGTTGTGTGGCTTCTGTGAACTCTTCTTTGGCCCCTGACACTGCAGTACAGGGAGGGCCATTTCTAGGGCTTCTCTTTCCCCTGTGGTCTTTTGTTCTGTACTTAATTCCATCTGCTGCTCAGTTCTCTGTCCATACAGGCCAGAGCTGTGGCCTCTATTATCCTGATAGCTGGACCTGTGCAGGTTCCCCCCATTACCTTTAATTGGAAGACCTAAAATAAGGAAATGGGAAAACATGGGCTGCTATTCCTTTGTATCTGGGGCCCTGGAAACTGCATGGAGGTGTCTTGAGCCCACTCTGCTTGTTCCCATTTGTGTGAGACAGGAAAAGCTAAGTGTTACTCCTGTGATCGTTACAACTCAACACAGAATGGGTCACTTCTGGTCACTACTATGTGTGAGGATTTCTCCCCACCAACAGCCCATTTTTGGGGGGGTCCTATAATTCAATTCTGACCCTTTCTATGTGGATTTCGAATCAGATCATACAACCTATGAGTTGAGTCCCCAGTACTGTCCTCCAACTCATATGCCAATCACAAGTAGTGAATTGTCTCTTGTCCTTATGACCTTGCCTATATTTCGGGTTTATGATCCTATTCTTTGCTGTGACTAATTTTCAGTGTTGGCTCACAGAACTCATGGAAACAGGTACATTCACTGGTTTGTTCTGGAGGATATTTGAATCATCCACATGAACAGGCAGGCAACGAGATGCACAGGGCCAAGTACCTGGGGAGGCGCAGGAGCTCTGGATGTCCTGCTCTCCATGTGTTTTTACATGTTCTTTATTGGAAGCTCTCCAGTTTCTGTAGCTCAGGGATTTTTCTGGCAGGCTCTTCACATAGCTTGTTTGGTATTACCTCACTCTCTAGCCTCCCTTGCCTTCCTGTGAGGGAACTGGCAATTGGGGCTGACAGTTCCCTGCTCCTAACCATGACTTGACCAGCCCCAGCCAAGAGACTACAGGTGTTGTCTTGTTGGAACAAACCATGCTCCTATTACTCAGAAAATTCCAAGTGATTAGGGACAATATGTCAGGACCAGGCAAAAGACCAACATATGTATTTCTTCCTTTATAAGGTCCCTCACCTATTCTTCAGTTCTGCTTTATCCACAAATTGCTTGTTGTGTTACAGGGGAGTAAACTTCTCAAATATGTATATTCTTTATTTGATGATACTAAATAATACTATTCGACTGTTTTTTGATTTTTTTTTTTGAGATAGAGTCTCACTGTCACCCTTGGTAGAGTGCCGTGAAGTCACAGCTCACAGCAACCTCCAACTCTTGTGCTTAAGCAATTCTCTTACCTCAGCCTCCCAAATAGCTGGGACCACAGGCACCACCCACAATGCCTGGCTTTTTTGTTGTTGTTGTTGTTGCACTTGTTGTTGTTTTAGTTGGCCCGGGCCGGGTTCGAACCTGCCAGCCTCAGTGTATCTGGCTGGCATCACAACACTGAGCTATGGGTGCCAAGCCAGGACACTGTATTTTTATATGTAAAAAAATTAGATTAACCCTTCCAATTTTTATATACCAAAAGTGTTTTTTCCTGTAAAGACAGTATTTATTAAATACTGTAGTCACTGTTTTTATTTAATTTCACTAATGTGATCAAGGGCAGATTTTTGTAATAGCCTTCCAGCTTTGTTTCTTGAAACATCCCTCTACTTGCTCAGCCAGTGGGTCATCATTCTGCACCCAGGATCTATCTACATTGCTGGATCCTAGCTTACTGTGTCTTTGTGTGCACAGCATGAAATCATCCCTTTCTTCTCAGAGGGTCCCACTGGGAGCATACCTGCGTGTAATTTCCTAGAATCTCCCCATCTAAATACCAACCAGGCCTGGGCTGCTTAGCTTCTGAAATCAGAAGAGATTGGGCACATTCAGGGTGGTATGGCCATAGACAGTCTCCTAGAATGTACATGTAGAATTTGTTGAACATGCACCTAAAAATAGAATTCACAGGTCATTCAATGTGGTAAAGTTAATTTCAGGGTAAATATTTTAAGACATATAACCCTAATGTCTTCCAACATTATCAAATCATCTTTCCTTTAAATGTCTTCTATTTTAGCCTCATACCACAGCTTTGTTCCCATAGTTGACTATGAGATATTTATATGTTGGTTACTAAATCAGTTTGTGTTTTCTCCCGGGGTCAGAATTTTAACTGACACAGTATAATTCTGTTCCATAGATTTGCAAGTATAATGTCTGCACCTGCATGCCCATATAAAAATTATTTATTAGGGTGGTGCCTCTGGTTCAGTGAGTGGGGCACCAGCCCCATATACCGAGGGTGGCAGGTTCAAACCCGGCCCTGGCCAAAACTACAACAAAAAATAGATAGGCATTGTGACGGGCACCCTTAGTCCCAAGTACTTGGGAGACTGAGGCAAGAGAATTGCCTGAGCCCAGGAGTTGGAGGTTGCTGTGAGCTATGTGACACCACAGCACTCTACCAAGGGTGATAAAGGGAGACACTATCTCTACCAAAAAAAAAAAAAAAAATTATTTATTTAGGCCTTTGCACCTGTAGCTCAGTGGTTATGGTGCCAGCCACATACACCAGGGCTGGCAGGTTTGAACCTGGCCCAGGCTTGCTAAACAACAATTCCAACAATTCAACTGCAACAAAAAAATAGCCGGGTGTTATGGCGGGCACCTGTAGTCCCAGCTACTTGGGAGGCTGAGGAAAGAGAATGGCCTAAGCACAAGCGTTTGAGGTTGCTGTGAGCTGTGATGCCATATAATTCTACGGAGGGTGACATGGTAAGACTCTGTCTCAAAGGAAAAAAAAACTTATTTAACGTTCTAATTAGTGAGTTTTTTCTGTGCCTCAATTTCAATAATGTATCAAAGGCAGGCATCGTCAGTATCCTTCTGCTAGCTTTGTTTCCTCAAATGGACTTCTCTGCTAAGGAATCATCAGTCTGCAGCCACATCCTGTTTCTTCTTTTCTTCCATACTCTCCTTTCCTGTCTTTGGCCTTTCCTTCTGTGGTGTCTTGATTTAGATGGACTTGGCAGTCATGTTTCAGCACATTACTTTTTTGTATTCCTGACCACACTAATTTCTAAAAGACTCCTTCCCAC